TTCCCGCTCTCTGCGCCATTTTGGTTGCGACAAGTTCGACTTGCGTGCACAGGAAGTGGTGGCGCTAGGATTGAGGGAGTCGGCGGTCAGCGCCGTGAATCGCTTCTTATTATTATTATTCTTACCAGTAGCGGTTTTGTTCTTATCATATTGAGGACGTAACGGACAACTCATTTTTCATTCTTTGTACACTACCTCACAAGTTGTAGTTCTCAATAAAAAGTGTAGTCATCTTCGACAAAGGGAAGTGACAGCGTGAGTCGTTATTACCTCGCGTAACCCACACAAAACATTGGTCCTTCGAGCCGGATCGGTGAGAAACAAGCAGCATTGATACAAGCAGTTACGATACCATTCGTGCCAGGAAGCTTCGAGAGCCTTCTCTCGTGGCATAAGCAGGCTTGTGCGAAACAAAACGGGCCTCAGCATTTCAAGGATTCTCACGGATCGAGTAGCACATCCGAGGAAAGGTCAACTCGGGAGTGTACGCATACATCAATTCGCCAGGACGCATTTAGCCATTATTCGTTACGTTCAAAGGGAACGCCATAACGCCACAATCATTGCCGTCGGTAGATTAGGTACGAGGTGCGATCGATAAATGATCGATAAGGCAATTCTGCAGTCGGTAAGTCGGGTAAGATCTCCAAAGTGCTCATTTTCACATTTTTACCTTCTGTATCATTTGTATAGCCTTACATAACCTTTTTGCATTTCGTTGTCAATATCAACAATGAGTGACGTAGAGAAATTGAAGAGACTGAACATAAGAAGAGGTCAAATAAAGGCCTTATGCACGAGAGCGCATAACACTCTCCACTCGGACACTGACATGACGGTAGCTCAATTAGTAGAACGCAAGTCAAAGATTGAAGCCACATGGGTGCAGTTCGACGAAGTACAGAACGAAATCGAGATGCTTCAGGATTCATCAGGAATGGCTGAAGCGCATTCATCTGATCGCGCGGAATATGAGGAGACATATTACACTATTGTTGCCAAATTTCAAGAATTGATCATCTCACGTAGTGTAACCGATCTTCCAGTGATAGAGGCACATCCCGCGGTTAATCGTTCACAAGCTTCAGCAAATAGTTTAAAACTTCCCAAAATCGATTTACCGTCATTCTCAGGAAATTATGAGGAATGGTATCCCTTCCACGACACCTTTCAGTCGCTTATACATCGTGATACTTCAATTACGTCAATTCAGAAATTTCATTACTTGAAATCGTCGCTCAAGGGGCAGGCTGCAGACATCATTCAATCACTCGAGGTCTCGGCGGAAAATTATAAGGAGGCATGGCAGATGTTAAAAAAACGTTATGACAAGAAACGTGTAATTATACAAAGGCATATTAGAGCGCTATTCGAGCTGCAATCAGTGTCCAAGGAAAACTTCACGAGCCTCCGGCATTTAGTGGATGGAGTGTTAAAACATCTAAGAGCGCTAAAGGCTATTGGACGCCCCACTGATTCATGGGATGATGTCATTATCCATTTGATAACTAGCAAATTGGATCATATCACGAATAAAGAATGGGAAAACAGCATTTCAGACGAGGATATTCCTACGATACGACATTTAACTGATTTCCTAGAGCATAGGTGCCATATCCTCGAGGCTATCAACCGAAGGGCTCAACCTGTTTCCAATTCACAAGGCAAGGCCAATCAGGCAAAGGTTTCATCTCTCGCATCCTCTGGTGTAGCCTCGTGTCAAAATTGCCGAGGAGATCATCAGATTTATTCCTGTGAACGATTCTTGAAGCTTTCTCCGGAGGATCGTCTCAAGGTTGTCAAGGAAAACAAGCTATGCTGGAATTGCATAAAGGTTTCGTCCCACACAGCAAAAACATGCAAGTCAGGTTCATGTAAAACATGTGGCAAGAGGCACAACACACTTCTACATGTTTCTAAAGACAAGGAGGTTGTCACATCACCACAATCAACGGAAGCAACACCAAGTTCTCCAACGGTAAATGTCGCGCATGCGTCAAGACCAGAGATTGCATCCCGGGTCCTGTTATCAACAGCGATAATAAACGCAAAGGATTGCCAAGGGAAACAGCAAACATGTCGTGCTCTTCTGGATTCAGGATCACAATCCAATTTTGTGACGGAGGAGCTGGTACTACGTCTAGGTCTTCAAACAAGGTCGATCGATATTTCGATCGTCGGAGTCAACAACTCTTGTAGCAAGATTAAAAAAATAACTCAGGTGCAATTGAGTTCAAGGTATTACGCATTCAAAATCACAATAGAGTGTTTAGTCCTCAATCGGATAACTGAGAGTTTGCCCAGCTTCACAATTGATAAAGATGCATTTAAGATTCCGCAGAACTTGCCTCTGGCAGACCCGGAGTTTCATCGATCCACTGACATAGACATATTGGTGGGTGCTGAAGTATTTTGGAATGCTCTATGCGTTGGGCAGATAAAGGAGTCATCGGATCATCCGCTTCTGCAAAAAACATTATTCGGATGGGTGATTGGCGGCGAATATCCTAGTAGAGCCGTGCAGCAAAGGGTCATCCAATGCAACGTGGCCGTCGATAAACCTGAATTAGAGCAACTTGTTGAAAGATTTTGGCAAATCGAGCAAATATCCGGCAAGACAATGCTAACTGAAGAAGAGAGAGAATGTGAAGAACATTTTAAGAAAACTTATCGTCGAACTTCTCAGGGGAGATTTGTGGTGCAGCTGCCAATTAAAACGGACAAGCTACAAGCTTTAGGATCATCTTATGACGCGGCCTTGAAACGGTTTAAATCATTGGAGCTTAAGTTGGATCGTTGTCCAGAAATGAAGAGGGAATATACTAAATTCATACAAGAATATTCGGAACTGAAGCATATGCATCCAGTGCTCACTGAAGACTCAGGAGACACTCCAGTTTATTACATGCCACATCATGCCGTGTACAAGGACTCAAGTTCCACTACTAGACTTCGAGTTGTATTCGACGCTTTGTCTAGAACGAATACCGGTGTATCGCTTAATGACATCTTGATGGTGGGCCCGAATCTACAAGGAGATCTGACTTCTATATTGATTAAATTCCGCTTATGGCAATACGTTCTTACAGCCGATGTGGAGAAGATGTACAGGCAAGTTCAGATTGAGGATAGTCAACGAGGACTTCAGAGGATTCTTTGGCGGAACAATAGCTATGAGGAAGTGCAAGCGTTCGAGTTGGCCACAGTCACATACGGCACGGCCTCAGCTTCATTCTTGGCGGTGCGAGTGTTACAAGAAATAGCCAGATTGGAGCAACACGAAATGCCAACAGGATCAGCTAGAATACTGTCCGATTTCTATGTGGACGACCTGCTGACAGGTGCAAACACTGTTCCAGATCTCATCACCATTTGTGATGAAGTAAGAGCCATATTAAGCAAGGCGGGTTTGCATTTGCGCAAGTGGGCTTCCAATGAAGAAACCGCGTTAGAAGGCATATCTGATTCAGATTCAGAGCTCATTCTAAACATCCAGGAAAACACGACCTTATCTACGCTCGGATTGCAATGGAACGCGAAGACTGATGAGTTTCAGTTCAGCATAAACACGAGCAAGCAGTTTAAGATCTCCAAGAGGATTATGCTGTCCGTCATATCTCGCATCTTTGATCCATTAGGTCTCATAAGTCCGGTTACCATTACCGCAAGGATACTCATGCAAAAATTGTGGCAACTGAAGACGCACTGGGACGAAACAGTGCCTATTGATATACAGACTCAATGGTCTCGTTACGAAGCGGAGCTTCACATGCTTAATGACCTCCGGATACCACGAAAGGTTATTCACCATCACGATTCCAAGTTGGTAGAGTTGTGCGGATTCTCAGACGCTAGTGAGAAGGCTTATGGAGCCTGCGTTTATGTTCGTAGTAAACTGACAGAAGATACTTATCAAACAAGATTATTGTGCGCAAGGTCAAGGGTAGCGCCGTTGAAAAATCTTACATTACCGCGTTTAGAGCTATGTGCCGCATTATTATTAGCTCAACTCATGCACAAGGTGTTAGAAATTTCCGACATCAAGTTTACACGAATCCTTTATTGGTCTGATTCTACCATAACCCTTTCTTGGATCAAATCATCTCCGAGAAGGTGGAACACATTCGTAGCTAATCGTGTCAGTTTGATTCAAGAACTTTCTGATCCCAACGATTGGCATCATGTGGAATCTGCTCAAAACCCTGCGGACGTTCTCTCTAGAGGCACATCACCTTCATCATTGGTCATTTCCAATCTGTGGTGGTACGGCCCCACATGGCTCTCGCAAGATGCAAACACATGGAGAGTCGAAAGCGCTTCGTTTACTTCAGAAATACCTGAACAACGGGGGATTGTGGCTGCCACAGCTGTCCAGCAAGACTTAGAGTTATTTGACAAATATTCGACATTCAACAAATTAATCAGAGTATGTGGATACATTCTACGTTTCATACACAATTGTCGCACGACGAAATCTAGATACGAAGGGCATTTGTCTATCATGGAGCTTGACCTCGCTATACTATCGTTATCCAAGATGGTGCAATTACATGCATTCACTATCGAACTAAAATGCTTGCGCAATCAAGAACAGCTTCCTAAAACGAGCAAACTTTTATCTCTAAATCCCTTTTTAGATGAGCATAGAATCATTCGCGTCGGTGGTAGGCTCCAGCATGCTGACCTGCCTTATTCAGCGAAACACCAGATCGTGCTACCGGGCGAGCATCCGTTTACCAAATTGTTAATAAAGCACGAGCATATCAAGCTTTTTCACGCAGGGGCACAAATGACGTTGGCCTCTATACGCCAAAAATTCTGGCCGTTGAACGGGAGGAATACTGTTCGTCATATCATTAGAATCTGTGTAACATGCCTCAGGATGAATCTTCCAATGATCCAGCCCCTTATGGGCAATTTACCTAGGCAAAGAGTTCAAGCCGCCCGAGTCTTTGCAAATGTTGGAATTGATTTCTGTGGTCCCTTTCAACTACGTGAGAGCAAGCGATGAAACGCAAGGACGGTGAAGTCTTATGCTGCAATCTTGATGTGTTTGGCAACCAAGGCCATTCACATTGAAATAGCATTTGATTTGTCAGCCGAAGAATTCATACATACCCTTAAACGCTTCATTGGACGCAGAGGCAAGCCGAGTCACATTTTTTCGGACAACGCGACCAACTTCACAGGAGCAAACCGAGAACTGAGTGAACTACGTGACATGTTTTTAAAGGAAGAGCCCACGATAGTGCAAAAATCAATTTCTGATGGCATTCAGTGGCATTTCATACCACCCAGAGCTCCCAATTTTGGAGGAATTTGGGAAGCATCCGTAAGGTCATTCAAGGCACACTTCAAAAGAGTGGTTGGCACCACTATATTAACAATAGACGAAATGCAAACGCTCTCAATACAAATAGAGGCTATCCTAAATTCTCGTCCAATAACAGCTCTTTCCAATGATCCCAATGACCTGTCCTATCTCTCTCCTGGGCACTTTCTGATTGGGGACACCCTTACCGGTATACCCGAACCAACTTTAACCGAGATTCAGGAAGGTAGACTATCCAAGTGGCAGCGAACGGAACAGATGCGGCAGCATCTCTGGAATCGATGGTCCAAGGACTACCTCAACCAATTGCAACAGCGAACGAAATGGAAAGCTAAGGGGATTAATCTTAAACCTGGAGACATGGTTCTCATCCGAGAGGACAATGCACCACCATTGTGCTGGCCCATGGGCAGAGTAGAGGAAACCCACCCCGGTAACGACGGCATCGTCAGGGCGGTGACTCTCAAAACCGTGAAGGGGCTTCTCAGGAGGCCTGCTAATCGGCTAAGTTTGCTCCCTATGGAGTCTTGACCATTCAACCATTCTAATTCACACCTTTCCTTTTATTATTTTTATGCCTAGTCAGCATTACTTCATAGTTTCGTTTCAGATTTTGTTTTTATTGAGATTTGCCAAGGAACAATCTGATGGCTCAGAACGACAACTCGTTTCATATTGAAAGGCCGAACCTTCCAAGGCGGGCGGCGTG